ACACACACAAAGATTAAATGAAAGATAAAAACACCACATTCTGTTTATTTCAAACCCTTGGCTATCTTTCTAGGATTTAATTTTTACACCAAAACCATTAAATTCACTGGGTTGATTTTCTCAAACTAAAATCCAGTGGAACTTTTCAGCAAGTACAATCACCAAGACAGCAAGGTCTTCCAACCCAATGAAAACTAAGACACAGTTACGTATACGTATTCTTCCCTAACATCAGAGGGAAACTAAATCCCCTATCACAGTACCAGGAAGGAGGGAGAGAAACAAGTATACAAGTAAAATATGAGAGCATGGAAGGTTTCATAGAAAGCAGAATCTAAGATAAGACATAAAACAGGCAGTCACTTTGGGGAATGAAAAAAGTGAATAGCACAGAAGCAAGTCGAAGGCTAAGGTGTCTTTAATTATGACAGTATTGCTAAGGGTTATGAACTACATGCCAAGGTTTTAGTTGGGAGGCAATATGGATATAGCCTCCCTACTCAAAGCTAGGGAAAAACACCCTAGTACTCATCAAGCTTAAAAATGAAAGTAACAATAGAACCAACATCACTAGGAAGGTTCAACTTTGGGTGAGAAGAACAACTGGCTCAGAGCTCTCTGTCTCCTAAGGCTAACAGAGAGAGGCAGGCCTGGGGGGTTTCTATTTAGAAGGGGCTTCCGCATGAAAGGTTCAGGGGAAAGAAATGGAGGAACCCAGACATACTTCAGTCCATCGGTTAAAATTACAGGGCCAAGTGCAGTGGCTCATGCCTGTAATCCCAGAACCTTGGGAGGTTGAGGCGGCTGGGTCACTTGAAGCCAGGAGTTCAAGACCAGTCTGGTCAACAAGGTGAAACCCCATCTCTACTAAAAATACAAAAATTAGCTGGGCAAGGTTGCACACACCTGTATTCCCAGCACTTTGGGAGGTCGAGGTGGGCTGGTCACCTGAAATCAGGAGTTCAACGCCAACCTGGCCAACATGGTGAAACCCCTGTCTCTACTAAAAATACAAAAATTAGCAGGGCATGGTGGTGCATGCCTATAATCCCAGATACTCTGAACTCTGGAGGCTGAGGTATGAGAATCACTAGAACGCCGGAGGTGGAGGTTGCAGTGAGCCGAGATCGCACCACTGCACTCTAGCATGGGTGACAAAGAGTGAGACTGTGTCTCAAAAAAAAAAAGTACACACACACATCAACTTATATCTGCCTAGTCTTCCACTGTATACCTCAAGGATCTTGAGTGGAAGCTGTTTTGAGTGGAAGACTGAATGGTGACAAAGAGCCTTTGCTTGGCAAAACGTCAGTCTCCTGAACCCCTTCCTAGGCCCATTTGTGCACATTTTTGTAAAATCCAGCTTCACCTAGAACTGATAAGCCAGCTTAGCAAGAATCCCCTATGCTTGATATCAAATCACCCTCTATATCTGATTGGGTTCTTCGTCCTCCACCATCCATCCCCCAGATGATGTCTGACCACCCTGGTCTGTCTTCAGTAGGAATCCCCTTAGGTCAGTGTAGACAGAATGTCTCCTTACCCCTCATGTTTCCTTTTAGAAATTTTTCATCCGCTGGCTCCCATCGTGATCCTTGGCTATACATTCCCACTAGCCCATGCTGTACTCAAGAGTTGAGCCCAATCTCTCTTCTCCACTGCAAAATTCCATCACAGTGGTCCCTATGCCTATTGCAGTACTACCCCCCACATTGAATAAAATCTTCCTCACTGTGCTTTAACCAGTGTCACTGATTTTTTTTTCTTCAACAGTGAGATATAGCTCTAGCAAAGGTGTGGGGGGGAATCATAATCCCTGGCTTGAATACAACTAATAGACTTTCTTCTTTAGAGCATAACTCCATGAAACAGCTACTTGAACTTTCTCTAATTTCTGTGCTCCTAGCTCCTATTTGTTCTTGAATATGCTCTAGTCAGGCTCCTAACCCAACTTCTCCACTGCAACAGCTCTCACTGGTAACCAATGGCCTCCACGTTGCTAAATCCAAGGGTCATTTTCAGTATCTTACTTAGCTGACCTGTCAGTAGCATCTGCCACAGTTGATCACTCTCTCTTCTGTGCAACACTATCTCCCCTTGGCTTCAACAAACACCATTTTCCTTTTACCAGTGTGGCTGCTGCTTCTAGGACCATTGGTAGGATCTTCAATTTCCTGAGCTCCAAATATTGGGGCACCCAACAATCAGTCCTCAGATCTTTTCTCCAAGTCACACTGAGTGTGCCTGCCTCTCCTGCCTCCCCTTCTACCTCTTCATAGATATACCATCTAGCCTGAGGCCTTAAATGCCATATATTTAATCTGAAGATTTCCTAGATGCCCTCCAGCAAAAACTTTCCTCTGAATTCCAGACTTATATAATCAACCATCAGTTAAACATCTGCACATACACATTCAATAGATTTCTCAAACTGAACATGTCTAAAACTGAACTCCTAATGTATCCTCCGAACCTTCTCTTCCGACAGTCCTTCCCACCTCTGCGAATGGTCACTCTCTCTCTCCAGTTGCCAAAACTACAGTCCTTTTCACTTCTTTCTCCCAAATCCCTCATGCAATCCATCAGCACACTCTCCTCCAAAATATATCCAGCCACTCATGAGCCAAACCAGTTCACTCATGAACATGAAACAAATGATGGTAACAGATTTCATCCAGAGAATAAAATAGGAATCTACAGATCCAGGCTTATATAAATACATGGATAAATAAATGGCAGGGGAGGGAAAACTCTTCCTTAGAGTAGAATGGCAACAAATAAACATGGAAGGAGTGATACGTTAGAAAAACACCATTTGGCAACCACCTAGTAATAAATGTTTCAGGCAAAGATCACTGGATGCCAAAATTAGCAAGTGAGAGTTTGAGAATGGGATATTTACCGAGGCTCAAAGTATCTCCCCTAAAGATACTCAAAGGAGGAAACAGTTACTTCACTGTGGAAAAACTTGACAAGACACCACTAACCAACTTATCAAGGGTGTCACCACCAGTAAAGAGACAAATATTAATTGTCTCCTGATGTGTCCTTCTCAGGAGACAATTAATATTTTGTATTTCTGCCAAAAAGGCATAATCAAAATTTAAGTATGAGGAAATATCAAACTAACCCAAATTGAGGACATTCTAAAAAAAAAAAATAAATATTCTGTACTTCTCAAAAAGGTCAAGGTCTTAAAAGATTAAAATTAAACAAAAAGAGACTTGATCCAAATTATAGCACTCTAAAGAGACACATCAGCTAAATCCAATGTGGGATCCTAAATTGAACCGTGGACAGGGCAAAAAAAAAGTTGTTGACAGGAAGACAGGGTCTCTCACTCTGTCGCCCAGGCTGGAGTGCAAGAGCACAATCACGGCTGACTGCAGCCTGGACCTTCCTGGGCTCAGGTGATCTTCCCACCTTAGACTGCCAAGTTGCTGGAACCAAAGGCATATGCCACCACACCAGCTAATTTTTGTATTTTTTTGTAGAGATGGAGTTTTGCCACGTTGCCCAGGCTGGTCTCGAACTCCAGAGCTCAAGCAATCCACCCACTTGGCCTCTCAACGTACTGGGATTACAGGCATGCACCACCATGTCCAGTGAAAAAATACCTTTTTTTTGCTTATAAAGGACATTATTGGAACAACTAGTAAATGTGGTAACATGCGTGAATTAAATAACTACTGTATCAATGTTAACTTTATAATTTTGATAATTTTACTATGGTTATGTAAGAAAATAAACACAGAAGTACTTAAGGTCAAAAAGGTCTCTATGCCTGCAACTTACTCTCAAATGGTTCAGAGAAAAGCTGTGTGTGTGTGTGTGTGTGTGTGTGTGTACATATCTATATACACAGTTGGCCCCTGAACAACATGGGTTTGAATTGCATGGGTCCACTTACATACAGACTTTTTTTTTCTTTTGAGACAGAGTCTTGCTCTATTGCCCAGGCTGGAGTGCAGTGGCAGCATCTCAGCTCATTCAAACCTCCGCCTCCCAGGTTCAAGTGATTCTCCTCTTTCCGCCTTCTGAGTAGCTGGGATTACAGGCATGCATCACCACACTCAGCTAATTTTTTGTATTTTTAGTAGAGATGGGGTTACCCCATGTTGGTCAGGTTGGTCTTGAACTCCTGACCTTGTGATCTGCCAGCCTTGCCCTCCCAAAGTGCTGGGATTACAGGTGTGAGCCACCACGCCCAGTCACATACAGACTTTTTTTCAGTAAGTCACACTGAATGTGCCTGCCTTTCCTGACTCCCCTCCCACTTCTGCCACCCCTGAAACAGCAACACCAACCCCTCCCCTTCCTCCTCCTCTTACTATTCAACGTAAAAATGATGAAGATTAAGGCCTTTATGATGATCCTTTCCCACTTAGTAAATATATTTTCTCTTCTTTATGGTTTCCTTAATAACATTTATTTTTCTCTAGCTCATTTTATTGTAAGACTATAGCTTATGATAAATATAACATACAAAATATGTGTTAATCAAGTATTTATGTTATCAATAAGACTTCTCTGGTCAACACTAGGCTACCAATAGTTAAGTTTTTGAGAAGTCAAAAGTTATACACGGGCTGGATATGGTGGCTCATGCCTGTAACCCCAGCATTTTGGGAGGCCAAAGCAGGTGGATCACTTGAGGCCAGGAGTTTAAGACCAGCCTGGCCAACATGGTGAAATCCCATCTCTACTAAAAATACAAAAATTAGCTGGGGAGGGTGGTGTGTGCCCATTAATCCCAGCTACTCTGGAGAGTGAGGCAGGAGAACTGCTTGAACCCGGGAGGCGAAGGTTGCAGTGAGCCGAGATCACACTACTGCACTCCAGACTGGGCAACAAGAGTGAAACCCTGTCTCAGAGAAAAAGAAAAAAAAAGTTATACAGATTTTGAACCGCACAGGAGTCACCTCCCTCAACGCCTACACTGTTCAAAGGTTAATCGTACATAGAAAGCAAGAGAGAAGAGAGAATGAAAAGCAAATAGCCTAATACATCAACCTTTAAGGAATCTGGATGAAGATTATATAGAAATTCTTTATACTATTTTTGCATATTTTCTGAGAAACGATTTCAAGATAAACTGCTAACTACACCTACATATACACACACACCTCACAACACCTTTACTGCCTCCAGTCTACCTAACCCACTGTTCTCTCTCCCTTGGATTACTTCAGTGGCCTCCTAACCAATCTGTATTTCTGCTCTTGCCCCCATCTCTTCTCAAAAAGCGGCCAGTGATCCCATTAAAATATTAGATTACGGCACCATTTGCTCAAAACCTTCCAATGCCTTTCCCTTTCGTTCAGAATGGAAGCTAAACCCCATACTAAGACCTACAAGGCCACACACGAGCTGCCTGCCCCCACACCTCTCGTCTCACCTCTACTTCTCTTGCCCTCCTCTTTCTCCTCCACCCCTGCCTGTCCTCACTGCAGTTCTTCACACCCTCAGGCAGGCTCCCAGGCACAGGCCCTCGTCCTGGCTGCTCCAGCTGCCTGGTACATGCCACACCCAGGTACGTGTGTGGCACAGCAAGGGCTGCCCTGGCCATGTAAACTATGTTAAATTTTTCTCTTACTGGTGCATATTATCTCCCTTTCCTACTTTATTTATCTTATTAGCAATCACCATTTTCTCATGTATTACATATTTTATAAATTTATCTGTCTTGTCTCCCTCACTATAATATAAGCTGCAGGAGGACAAGTATTGTTGCTGTTTTGTTTACTACTGTGTCCTAGTGCCTAGAACAGAGAGTGGAATAGTATAGGGGCTCAAAAGGTATGTGTTAAATGAATGAATGAGAACTCAACAAAAACATTTTTGAATATTCTTAAATTCTACATTAGTAACATAAATCTGCAAGGCCAAAGAATTTGTAAAAGTTTAAATCCATGTACTCACCTAGGGAAGCACAACTATCCTCTCCTGCCTCAAAGCTGCAAGCATATGTGTGAACAGGAACGTACGCAGCAGATGTATTTAGAAATGGGTCCCAAACAATGACATTGTATATGACACCTTGTCCCGGGAGGGATGAGAAGGAAACGCTTGTCTTATCATTCGCAGTTAGGGTAGCCACCTGAAGCCAAAAATAATACATGATTAGTGTTTAGGTAATTTTTTAAAGCTATTCTATGATAACCCCACCTATGTGTAATATTAAATGGTATATTTATAAATTATAATCATTGTTTATAAATCATTTATAAATTATAATCACCAACCCATTTAATATGGTCAAAGGGCCATCTTACATGGTTTGTATATGCTAATATAAACAAGTTCTTACACAAAATTCTTCCAAAGTTTTTTTTAATAGTTTAAGGAAAATGTGAAATAGATAATGCATAAATGCTAGTTAGGACAAAGTACAAAGTTTTTTCTCCTCTGCTAGACTATAAGCAAGGATGGGAACTGTATTTCTCTTCTGCACTGTTCTTTCCTCAGTATGCAGCCCAATGCCTATACAAAGGATGTGTTCAACATTAGCCACAAACTAATGTAGACAGTCTGTTAACATTTCACAGATAGTACCCAATTATTTTTGTCTAACAGTCTCTGAAACAAGAAAATATTGTATAAGGTTTTGGTATATAGTAGTTCTTAACTTCAGAAATTCCATTGTAAACTATAAACTAGAAGAAACAAATGCTTTATATAACAATACATAGATATGTTCCTACTAATTTGAGAAAAATAAATATTAGGGTTTCAGGAGTAAATAATGCTGAGGCCTCCTACATCAGACTATCATTGTTTAAATATACTGCTTAGCCTTCAAAAACTTGTTTTTGGGCAAAAGTCTGGTCAAGTTCAACAAACTGTTAATATTACTACCAAGTTGTCATGAAAAATTTTAACCAGACAGAAAATTTGAATGAATATCACAACAGACTATATACTGCCTATTATCAACAATTGTTATTATTTTACCATATTTGCTTCTCTATCACTCCTTTCTCCCCATCTCTACTTTCTTCCCACGGAAAGTAAGTTACAGATACCATGACATTTCACTTCTAAACACATCGCTGTGTATATCCTACCACACTGTTTCTCAAATTTCATGTGCTTGTGAATCACAGGGGACAGTCTTGTTAAAATGCAGATTCTGATTCTTAGGGTCACTGTGGTACCAGCAGTTCTGCTTTTCTAGCAAGCTCTCAGATGATGCCAATGCCATGCAACCACCTACCACACTCTGAGTAACAAAGTACTCAGTATAGATGTAAGTCTAAGTACAGACTTACAAGGGGGGGTTACATCAGAATAAACCCAATGTAAGTCAAAAATGCATTTAATATACCTTGTCCACCGACCATCATGGCTTTAGCCTATCCTACCTTAAATGTGCTCAGAACACTTACATTGGACTCAGTTGAACAAAATCATCTAACACAAAGATTATGTTATAATAAAGTGTTTAGTTGCTCATGTAATTTATTAGCTGTTTACCTGTGTGGTCAAGTGGGAACTATGGCTCACTGCCACTGCTCAGCATTGCAAGAGTATCATACTGTATATTGCTAGGCCCGGAAATTACCAAAACTAAAAACTCAAATTGGAAGTATTGTTTCTACTGAATGCTTATTACTTTCTCACCATCATAAAATAAAAAACACCAGGAGAAATGCCTGATGTAGGTGACGGGTGTGTGGGGTGGGTGTATGTACCTATGCAACAATCCTGCAGGATGAGGATGTGTACATGTGCCCCAGAGCCCAAAGTACAATTAAAAAAAATTTTAAGTCAAACCGTCATAAGTCAGGGACCATCTTTATAAGAATATTCTCCTATATAACCACAATACCTTAGCTCACCTAAGAAACTGAATACTTTCTTTATTTTACTTTTTACTTTTTGAGATGGAGTTTCGCTCTTATTGCCCAGGCTGGAGTGCAATGGCGTGACCTCAGCTCACTGCAACCTCCACCTCCCGGGTTCAAGCGATTCTCCTGCCTTAGTCTCCTGAATAGCTGGGATTACAGCATGAGCCACCACACTCAGCTAATTTTGTATTTTTAGTAGAGATAGGGTTTCTCCATGTTGGTCAGGCTGGTCTGGAACTCCCAACCTCAGGTGATCTGCCTGCCTCGGCCTCCCAAAGTGCTGAGACTACAGGCGTAAACCACCACAGCTGGCCTGAAATGAATAATTTCTTATTAGCTAATATATAACCCAGATTTTCCCTAATGTCTTTTTTTTTTCTTTTTGAGACAAGGTCTCACTCTGTCACCCAGGCTGGAGTGCAGTGGCATGATCTCAACTCACTGAAACCTCTGCCTCCCAGACTCAAGTGATCCTCCCACCTCAGCTTCCTCAATAGCTGGGACTACAGGCACACAGCACCACACCCAGCTACTTTTATTTTTTCTTAGTGGCTATATGGTTTTGCCATGTTGCCCAGGCTGGTCTCAAACTCCTGAGCTCAAGTGATCTGCCCACCTCGGCCTCCCAAAGTGCTGAGATTACAGGTGTGGGCCACTGTGCCTGGCCCCTAATGCCTTTTCTAGCTTTTCTCCTTTTTACCCAAGATCAAACCAAGTTCCACGCATGATGTTTATGGCCAATCTAAGTAATCTAGAGCAGTCTGTCCTACCTTTCTCTCCCAGCCACCCAATGACTATGGAAGAGATGAAGTCAGGTCAGTATTCTCACAAAATATTCCACAATCTGGATTTGTCAAATTGTGCTCAAGGTGTCTAACTAGTTCTTTTAACCCCCATATTTCCTGTAAATAGGGAATCCAATGGACTGAATTCAGGTTAGACATTTTTTTGCTAGAATATTCCAAGGTGATGGTGATAATGTCAGACTCCATTACATGAGCACATAATGCAGGCTGACCCATTTTCAGTGAAATTAGCTTTGCCCACTTGGAATAGGTGGACTATAAGGCCACTCCATTTAAAAGTGGTTCTCCTTTTGCAATGAGAATGAATCTAAGGATGCTACTTAGACACTCTGGAAACATACTGTCCCCTAAAAACCTTTCACCTGCTGATCCCTGCTTGAACTATTTCATTGAGGGTCACAAAATGGTGATCACCTAATTATATTATTCCTTCTACATATATTAGCTGGCACTCTTCTGCAAAGAGCTTTCTCTCAAACTGGGGAAGAATTAGTTCCTCCTTTAAAAAGGCAAGCTAAATTCCTTTATCAATTTTTAGAGTAATTTGGTGTAAGAGTTTCCTCCAGTGGTTGCAACTGAGGAAGGTTTTGTTTTTATTTATTCAAGGCTGAAACCACAATCTTTTTTTTTTCTTGATTCTTGAATTGTCCCAAATTTGGGAGTGCAAGCCCCTTCAAACAGGCTCCTGAATCTCTTTGACATACCCTTATTAGTCTTTGAGGGTTTCCCCACATTCCAGCACAAAATATTGTTTTAACTAAAAGTTAAAAAGTAACCTAAAAAGAGCCTATTATACAAGTTCTTATATTCTTCATAAAAATAAAAATAGTACTAAAATGTCATCTCTAATAAAGCAACTAATAAACTTTACTAACAAGAGCTTCTTATTTTGTGAATAAGCACAATGAAGGTGTCTAAAAAAGTTCTACCCATCAAACATTAGACTGAAGGGTGACATCATATATTATATTTCTGTTAGGCACTTTTCAAGACATAAAGATAAAATCTCCCCTCCACAAAAATAATCTATTGCAGTACATCTCAAAATTTAATATGCATAAGAATCACCTGAGTCACTCATCTTTTTTTTGTCACTCATCTTTTCTTTTCTTTTTGAGTTGGAGTTTTGCTCTTGTCGCCCAGGCTGGAGTGCAATGGTGCGACCTCAGCTCACTGCAACCTCCACCTCTCAGGTTCAAACAATTCTCCTGCCTCAGTCTCCTGAGTAGCTAAGATTACAGGTATTCACCAACACGCCTAGCTAATTTTTATGTTTTTAGTAGAGACAGGGTTTCACCATGTTGGACAAACTGGTCTCCAACTCCTGACCGCAGGTGATCCACATGCGTTGGCCTCCCAAAGTGCTGGGATTACAGGGATGAGCCACCTTGCCCGGCCAGAATCACCTGCGGGTGCTTATAAAATGCAAATTTACATTCAGTAGTTCTAGGGTGGAGCCTAAGAATTACAATTCTCACAAACTCCCAGTGATGCCAATGCCACTGGTCCATGGTCCACACCTGGGGAGCAAGGGTATTCAAAAGCTCAGAGAAGAATTTTGCTCCAAAATTAGAGACTTTGAGTTTGGGTTGAAGTATTAATGCCAAAGTGTATATTCTTAAGCAGTTTCTCATTATTTTTTTCTCAAAACACTGTAACCTTCATACTTGTCAAAAATGTCTACCCAATAGTTGTGGGAGTACATAGAAAATTACCACCTCCTTCCATTCACATTTCAGATTACCAAGTCACACAGATGTGGCTAAACTAAAATTTAACATAATTTACATGCATCTTCTCAAAGGCCAACATCATTTTGAGATATCACCAGCAAAAACTCCCATGATGATAACAAAATAAAAGAGAATAAAGTGAGTGTCCCCAAAAGACGGAGAAAACAGGGAAGAAGTAAGATCCTGGTAACAAAAGTATCACAATCCAGCCACACAAATCATGGGACTCAGATTTACCTTGAGAGCATTGGCCTTCACTTGGGGCACCGTGACCATCCTCTGCAGATGCGTCAGCACCATGTCCTCAGTGAGGTCATTCTCAGGCAGAAAATACTGATAGACATCATACTGCAACCTCCACCTGGAGTCTTGGTCTGTCCCAGCATCACATGATGGGGGATCTGTACCTCTAAAATCAACCAACAAAATTAAACATCAATCTCTTGTGGTGCAAATCCCATCTATAAAAAGGAACCAAGAGCTCTAATTTCAAACACTTGCAACAATAATTAAAATTTAAGAGTTCACCTTTTGCAGTGGCAATAATTGGTATTCTGAAGAAAAATAACACACTGTTATGGACTGAATGTTTGTGTCTCCCCAAAATTAATATGGTGAGACCCTCACTCCCAATGTGATGATATTAGCAGTTGGGACCTTTGGGAGGTAAATAGGTCATGAAGGTGAAGCCCTCATGAATAGAATTACTGCCCTTATAAAGGAGATCCCAGAGAGCCCTCTAGCCTCCTCTCTGTCATGTGTGAACACAATGAGAACCCAGTAGTCTGTAACCAGGAAGAGAACCTTCACTGGAACTCAACTGTGCTGGCACCCTGATTGTGGACTTCTACCCTCTAGAACTGTGAGAAAGAAGATTATAAGCCACCCAGTCTGTGCTACTTTGTTGCAGCACCACAAACTAAGACTAACACCAACAGGCAAGGGTAGTTCAATAACTGGATTCTGTATCAGTCAGGCCCAGAGTAATACTACAGCTTTGGGGAGAAAAAAAAATTTAAAAAAAAAAAAAAAAGCTGGGTGCAGTGGCTTATGGCTATACAGTAATCCCAGCACTTTGGGAGGCTGAGGCTGAAGGATTACTTGAGCTAAGATGTTCAAGACCAGCCAGGGTAACATAGGAAGACCTCAACTCCGATTTAAAAAATAGTAATAATAATATAGCAGCTGTGTCATTTGTTAGCAAGTCACTTAACCTCAATAACCGCTAGAGAACCTTTCTGTAAAATAACAGCAATAGCCTTTCTTCATAAAATTGTTAGGATTAAATGACAAAGAACATAACGACACTCAGCACCATGGACAATGCACGGGAAGCATTCAAGTGTTCTCAAATGTTAGCTATCATTACTATTAAAGCAGAAACTGAGGTACAACTTTAATTAAAACAATTAATCTTTATAAAAATATATGGATGTTTCAGGGCTACTGAGTGCTATCTATATTAAACTGCTTTATAAAAACCAGGATGTACTTCCAAGCTCATAACAGACTACATCTGACTCTTCAAATAAAAAGAGTTCACAAAAATGAAGTGGGGAAAATATTAACTGTAAATGACAGCCCAAATATTAATAATGAAGTTTAAATTACATCCATTTCCTCCCCCCTCTGCCCCAAAATTAAAGAATTCAATTTTACTACAGAGAACTAGGGACTTGAGAGAGCTGGTCAAATCTACACAACTGATGTCATGTGTGTTCTAAAAGCATTTCTCAGAGATGGGGGACAGACATACCTCGCATAACCTAGGTTTGCTGGTGCAAACTTGATAGTCGTTTCAAAGAAATTATACTCCAAGTAAATGTTGGGATCAATATCTAAATCAAACTCCAAATTACAGCCTCCAGGGATAGGATCTGGATGAGAAATAGGGAAGTTACTAAACAAACAATTCTTACATATCCAAATCATACTCAGAAAAACAGAACTCTACTCTTAGAAGAACTTCCCACATAGAAGTTAAATATAAACACAGAGCTTCTAGTCTTATACTATTTCATGAACTAAGATTAAAGAGGGTAAAGTTAACTAAGGTTCAGGTCCCTAGAGCAGGGCACAGCAAACATTTTCTGTAAAAGGCCTGATAGTATTTTAGGCTTTGTCAGTCTGATGGTCTCTGCAGTAACTACCCACCCGTCTTTGTGGCAAGAAAGCAGCCATGGGCAATACGTACAGGAAGAGGCATAGCTGTGTTTCAATAAAACTTTATGTACAAAAACAGGCAGCAAGTTGGTTCTGTAGTCTGGTCTGTAGTCCAGGCTCTTGATCTGTAGTCTGCCAAACTCTCCTCTAGAGTTAAAAAGATCAGCTATTGGTTGACTACTTCTGGCCAGGTTTGGAATGCAGATACACAGTGTGTATACATGTATCAATATCATGTTGGAATCTTCCTCCAAATTCCATGCTCTTCTTTCATACTCTCCTTCTTCTGCATTTATGGATCTTCACCACACCAGAGAAAATGGTATGTATGCCAGCTGAAGCTCCACTGTTCAGAATTTTTCTCTGTACACCGTCCTTGATGCAAGCCTTAATTAAGTCTATGGTTTCTTATCAGGTAAGTAACCTTTTGTTGCAGATAACATTTCCTATAGTCTACTCCAGTAATCTTTTGGATTCTACCTCCTTTCCTAACTAGTGCTCCCTTCTCCTTCCCTTTACCCCCAAGCTTTAAGTGTAGTCTAAATTTCTTCACCTCACATTCACTTCTCTATCACTGTAATCTAGTTTTCATCCCTGTTGTGCCACTAAAGTGACTCTTATAAAGGGCACCACTGACTTCTACTTGCTCTAGCATATGGACACCTTCAGTCAGTTATCTTGACCTCTCTGTAGAGTATGACTTACTATTTCCTTCTTTTTTTTTTTTTTTGAGATGGAATCTCCCCCTGTCACCCAAGCTGGAGTGAAGTGGTGCAATCTCAGCTCACTGCAACCTCTGTCCCCCAGGTTCAAGTGATTCTCCTGCCTCAGCCTCCCAAGTAGCTGGGATTATAGGCATCCACCACCATACATGGCTAATTTTTCTATTTTTAGTAGAAAAGGGGTTTTGCCACATTGGCCAAGCCAGTCTCAAACTCCCGATCTCAGGTGATCCGTTCACTTTGGCCTCCCAAAGTGCAAGGATTACAGGTGTGAGCCACTGGGTCTGGCCTGCTCCCTTTTTAAGGCAGAAGCTCCAGGCTGTCTTCCGACCTTCCAGACTACTCCCCAGTCTTGCGCTTATTCCTCAGCAGTTATCATTTGCCACTCACTGCCACAGCTTTAACAGCTATTTAGTTGAGAATCTAAAATCACCCCTCCACTCCAGGCCCTTATTTAAATTACCTACTGTGCATTTCCAACCAAATGTCCTACAAGCATCTCAGATTATGTCCCAAACTGAAGTCACCATCTACTCCATCCCACCTCCCAAAACATCCAGCAACACAACAACCCTGTTCCTATACCTATTTTGTATCACTATTTCCCTGCTGCCCAAATAGGAAACCTATGATTCCCTCTTATAATCCATAACCACCAGGCATTGTGTTGCATCAATTCTACCTTCTGGATATCTCAAACCCAGCTCCTCTCCTCCATCCTGCCTCTCACAGCCTCTGATCAGATTCTCATTTCTCACTTTGTGCTGGGTCCTGACTCTGCTATGCCCTCTCCAATCTATCCCCACACTGCTTCTAGAGGTGGCTTTCTAAGAGATGAAATGGACCACACCATTCCTCTGCTTAAAAACTCTATGCCTCCTCAGAACCTACCTTGAAATAAAACACAAACCTCAAATTGTATGCAAGGCCCTCCACACTCCAGCTGCTGCCACAGCCACAACGTGCCATTGTCCAAATCATTCTTCTTCATGACATGGAGCTTACTGCTTCTGCTTAGAATAACTAAACTGGTAAGGACTATGTCTTGCCTTACTATTACTGCTTCTCCAAGGGCTCCCTAAATGTTTTTTGAATGAATAAATGTATTCTCCTAGTCACTACCTGAGCTTTCAGTCATTGTGCTAATTCTCTGGCTTTTTACTATAAAATATTTCTGATTAAATAAATTATACTTGCAACAAACAATCTTAATAGAATAATTTTCCTTAAAGTTTCATGAACACATCCCATATTCCAAAGAGTAAGAGGGAGGAAAAGACAGAAGGGTTACCTCTTTCTGAGTAGGAGAGGAGGATAGCCATACTCTGGACAGGTTCTGTGTCTGAAATCTCCAAGTACCAAGTGCATGTACTCTGCTCTGGTTTAAGGATGAAAACCAGTCCACTGTCAGTGCCTGTTTTCGAGGCATTGGGAAGGAGAGTCTGCAGTCAAGAAGAAGCACCATCATGAATAGGAAGTCGAGCAAAATATATAAATTACCGAGTTGATCCAGTGCACATGTCCTATTCCAAATCTTCTCAAAACCAATAGAAAAAAAAAAAAAAAAAAAAAAAAAAAAAAAAAAAAAAAAAAAAAAAAAAAAAAAAAAAAAAACCTTCCTTAAATAACCAGGAAATTTTTGCATCTCTATGTTCACAAGCCCACACATACACATGGAAAAATCATTCTTGAAAAATATGATTGTCTTAGTTAAGACTGCTATAACAAAATGCCACAGGTTTAGGTGCTTATAAACAACAGAAATTTATTTTCACAGTTCTAGAGGTTCAAGATTGAGGTGCCAACACAGTCGGGTTCTGATGAGGGCCTTCTTATAGATTGAAAACTCCCAACTTCTTGTTATATCCTCACATGGCAGAGGAAGGGCAAGAAATATCTCTGGGGTCCCTTTTATAAGACGACAAATCCCATTCATGAGGGTTCTAAATGGGGGTCCATGACCTAATCACTTCCCAAAGATGCCACTTTCTAATATAACACATTGTGGGTGAGGATTTCAACTGCGAAGGTTGTGAAGACACAAACATTCTGTCTGCAAAAATAATCTTTGATCAGGAATAGCAGATGCACAGTGAAATTCTCATGTTTCAATTAACTTGAATTAAGATTTACTATATCAGGTAATGTGTTGTCTTAGTGTCTGAGACCACTAAGACAAAAACATGAGCCCTGGCCCCAAGGAGTTCAGTTTTTGAAATATCTTTTATGTAAGTGTTATAACTGACATACTATAAACTGCTTTTAAGTATTGATATACATAGACACCTGTGAAACCATTACCACAATCAAAATAGTAAATGTATGCATCACCCCAAAAAGTTTCCTTGTACCCCTTCCTAATCCTTCCTCAAACACTTCCTCAATATCATCCCCCACTTCCATCTGCTTGGAAAGCTTTTTGAATAATAAAATGCTAAGTTAAGAGGTAATAGATTCAAGAGATTCTCTCAAAGCTAAGGAAATGGGAAGGAAAAGGTAGCAGATCAGTTTCAATTTGATAATCACAAGAAAGAATGACTCAAATATTAATTGATAAATGATCGAGTCAACAGTTTCAAAGAGCTAACTGCTGTCATGACACAAAAAAACCCAAAAGTGCCACACTTTATCAGGAAAGGCACAGGAAACAGAAGTGCCACTTGCTTCCTAAGCCATGTGCAGTTCTGGCCATCGTCTTCTAAGTAATATAATAGTGGGAACTAAAGGCAGTCCAAGAAATAAAATGATAATTAAGGACAACTAAGACCCTTTCTGCATAGAAATCAAGGCCCAAGATGCTGCCATCCAGGACTGTTTTGTCACTAGTGATGTTGGCAATTCTTTATCCAAGCTCTGCTTCCTCGGATGTAGAAACAGGCATCACTACTACTTTGTTGAGCTTTAGTGAGAATTAACTACATGGAAAACCAAACACAGGGGTTCCTAACTGGGGGCCTGAGGGTCTGAGCTTCTGAAAGGCCCCATGAAATTATATATTTATATTTGAGTCCACAGACTTGAGTAATCTATGACTCCAGGAGCTTAAGAACCACTGGCCTAGCACATAGTAGGCACTGTTCAAATATAAATGCTAATTTCTCCCATCCTCTCTCTTTTCCTTCAAATGTTGTCTTGCTATAATGTCATTAGGAAGAAAATCATACGGATTGTCAATTAAAATTTTTTTTTAAATAGAGCTAGCTAAAAAAGAAGATTAAAGAACTCATCTATGTGCCATTTTACTAAGTCTCCTATGTAAGAGCCAGAATAGGAAATTGTCTTTTGAATTCAGTGCCATAAAAAACTTGGCCTCCCCTGAGGAATTGGCATACTCCTTCCTTTCTAAGGAAGTTATGAAATTTAACATGCTTTACCTTCTGCTCTAGCTGCAACAAACTTGGGCAAGTTCGACATATGACTGACATTGGTATCTCTTGCAATTAATACTATTTATTCCTTTCTCTTTTTCCTCAGCTGAACTCTTCCATTTCTAGTCTATTAAGTACACACCACTGCAACACTCATGCACACACGTGCACAACCATATGCACACAATTTCAACACCTCTATGGTAGGGGCAAAAGGCAGGAATAAAAAAATACAAAATAGTAAGAAAGAGTGCCTAATGCCTATAATAATATATATGGGCTGGAGCATAGCGGCTCATGCCTGTAATCCCAGCACTTTGGGACGCCCAGGCAGGAGGATCACTTGAGGCCAGGAATTCAAGACCAGCCTGGGCAACCTAGCAAAATTCTGTATCTACAAAAAAAAAAAAACATTAAAAATTAGCTGAGTGTGGTGACATGTGCCTGTAGTCCCAGGATCACTTAAGGCCAGGAGTTTGAGGCTACTGTGAACCATGACCACATCACTGCATTCCAGCCTAGGTGATGGAGCAAGATCCTATCTCTAAAAAAAATAAAAATAGGCCAAGTGCAGTGGCTCATGCCTGTAACTCCAGCACTTTGGGAGGCCAAGGTGGGCAGATCGCCTGAGGTCAGGAGTCCAAGACCAGCCTTGTCAACATGGTGAAACCCCATCTCTACCTAAAAAATACCAAAAATTAGGCGGGCATAGTGGCAGGCACCTGTAATCCCAGCTACTCAGGAGGCTGAGACAGGAGAATTGCTTGAACCCAGGAGGTGGAGATTGCAGTGAGCTGAGATCACGCCATTGCACTCCAGCCTGAGCAACAAGAGTGAAACTCTTCTCAAAATAAATAAATAAAATAAAAATTGTTTAAATTACATATGATTTGGATTAAGACAGATTTGTTTACCAAATTCCAGAATATTATAAGATAGGCTTAGTACAAATAAAAAGAAATATAACTTCATGCAAGGTGAAATTCATGTATTGGTCTAAGGTATCATAGAGACTAAATATAAATAGATTTGTAAAATATTACATAAATGGCAGTCCTTCATAGCTTAAGCTAACCCAGGGAATTTAAAAAACTTTCTAAGGCTGAGGTTGAGGCTAAGAAGTTTAGTGATGACATCTATAATAGAGTCCTTAACACTGCTGGAGGCATAGCACAGGGCTGGATGAACTGACCACTGTAATTTTTTTGTTGTTTGCAGGACAGAGTTCAAAGAATAAAGTTGATATTATAGGGTTCTTAGTAAAGTTCAATACTAAATAGCTAAACAACAGTGAAAACCCATTAAGACATGTATTCTCAGGTAAAAATTATTAAGGCCCCACTAAAGTAAGAAAATGAAGAGGTGGGAAATCATGAGGAAAACTTACCTGCATTGCAGTAACATTGGCACAGGGTCCCCTTTCTTCCAGCTCGGCTCTCTATTATCCCCTTTTTAAGTCAGAGACTGCCACACTCAAGAAAAGCCTGAGATACTCTTAATCACTAACTTGAAAAGATCTATCTTGATTTTTTTTTTTTAATTTAAGACACAGGTCATAAACATGAGATATCGAATTCTAAAACTCATACTAAATACCAGATCCCAAAATATAGAAATGATTTTTACTAAAATAATTATTTGTACTCACCGGAGAAAAGGAAACAGTTGTATTCTGATACTGTGAGTGTATTTGGAAAATAAGAAAAGTCACATTGTTTGAAATATCATGCAAAATAGCTTCCTCTGGAAAGGGCCTATTGAGCTCGAAGATTCTAAATTTCCCCACAGAAAATTCAATAAGACCTACAACGAGATAAAACTTTTCATTACAACACTTGTACTCTCATATCAATTTGCAGAAATCATATTCATAAACAAATGTGGAATTTAATCCTCAGAAAGCTCTTTGAGGTAAATACAGTTATTGCTCCTATTTCACTGCTAAAGACAATGTAGCTTAAAAAGTGAAGCAGCCCGTCCAGGGTTATCTAGCCAGTAAATGGTAGAGCTCAGAACTAAAATGCAAGAGGTGCTTCAAAAGATACAAACAATTTTTAAAGTGCTGAAGACAGGCTCCCAGAGTCCAGAACTTCCCCTCTGGTAGCAGCAATAACAATAATCTTCTGAAGAGAGTAGCTGAATTGAAGGACGACAACCCTGTGGGGCTACTAACAATCACGGATGTGCTGGTGTTAAAGAACCACACTGTTTAGTGAATTCTGAAGTTGTATAGCCTGAAGAGACACGTGGCTGCAAGTTAATACCAGCATTTACCAGCTGTGTGATTTTAGGCAAGTTACTTAAATCCCCTTAAACCTCTATTTCCTCATTTGTCTAACTGAGATTCCAAAGGAAGGTATCATCAATACTGACAAAAATGTCTGTTGAGTGTCCACATCAGGCACTGCACATACGATTGTGAACCACAGGCATTCTGTAAAAGAGAGCTTTTAGTTTGCTTAAGGATCAAGCTCAGAGTCCATAAAAAAGATAGGTTACAACAAGAACAGTTTTTCAACACCTCCTCCAGGCCTGTCCCATCTGTCCATCTGCCTCCGTGGTCTGTGACTCACTGACTCTGTCCCCACTTCTCTGTGGTGTGTTTCTCCCCGCTGCATACCAGCTCTGTATTTTTCCAATCTAACTCTCAAATAATCCTTTAATTAGGTTGCTCATATCCTGTGTAGTCCTGGATTCCTACCTCACCACCCACCCTACAGTCAGTATATCTCTGCATGAACAGCAGAAGAGATCCCAAGCTTCACATAAGCAGTCTTGGAGATTCAATTCTAAAAACAAACAAAAGATTTGGATTAAATATAGATGAAAAGGAGTTGATGAAAAAAAGATTACAATTCATCTAAGTCCCATAGTGGAACTGTCATGTTTTATTTTAGAAGAAAATTAGATTCACCCAAGTCCCATAGTGGAATTGTCATGTTTTATTTTAGAAGGAAATTAGAGTCAGTGATGGTAAAAGAAAACATTTCAGATACTAAAAAACTTAATAGCACATTCTTATGTACTGTGTCCCAAGAAGGTCAATTTTCTTCATTTTTATTAATTTATTTTTTTTTAATCTTCCGTCAGTCTCTGGCAAAAGGAGGTCAATTTTCAACACTTTTTTTTTTTAATACAAATGCTCCACTGGATGATTTAAAACAAAAAAATCAGAACCAAAAAAATCAAGAATGAGCAGCCTGTGGAAGGACGGCCAAAAAGAACTAGAATAACGTTAACCTCTATATATTTTCCCTAAGCTCTGTGATGCTATATTACCTTCATAACTTAATGTTATTTGTTTAAAAAGATGATAGAACAAAAGATTATTTATGATTACAATTTCATTTCTAAAACTCTGGAGAAAATTTTAATAGTTGTAGCAATGACAAATGAAGATAGTATAATTCCTGTTTATGGCACCAGAAAGCCATTTTGCATTTTATATGGACCAAACTCTAGATGGAACAGAGGTTAAAATATTAAAGAGTGGCCAATAGAATCTGGGTAGGGAAGTCTGGAAAGTGTGGGAAGTTTGTGTGTGTTTTCTTTTTAAAAGAAACCAAAAAAGCATGTTTATATTTTTCAGGCCTTCCCATCATCATGATTATTTCATTAGAAAAGCAAATTATACATAAAACTACATAGATTTCAGTAAATGACACTAAAAATGTTTCATGTATTGCCCTTCACTTTTGGTCCCATCCATCATGCATCCTCCAAGTCTTAAAAATTCCCACCTGTGTTGGCAGTATCAGTATGTTTTCCTACAAATTAATCAGATTTCTATCCTTTCACTGTTCACAGCACTCAGTTCACTTACTATCCTGCCTTTTCTCGTCTATATCTTCAGTTTTTCCCTTTTGTTCTCATTTTCCCTATTTAGCAAATATTTATGAGATACTTATGGACTAGTTGTTGGGCACCGTGACCAAAACTAATACAAACAAATTCATAAAGGTTATCCAGGACTTCTGTAATTATCACTTAAACTTGCCTTTGATATATTTTAGAACATGTTTTAATAATCCTTATGTCTATCTCCCATGACATGGGCCTTCCATCACAATGGTACACAGAACCTTTAAAAGCCCTGGAAGAGACTGAAACCATCAATTAGAGAAGGCTTCATGGTAAACTTCAAGGTAGTCTTCCCTTAACCTATCACCCAGGTTGAGGATAAATCACAGCTCAAATGTACTCGGAGAACCAAAACTTTAGCAAGAGAGTACAGAAACACAGAACCATCGAAACAGAAATACGTTGTTAAACAACTGATGACTTCACAAAATGAGTAGAGGAGTATTAAAAGCAGGTATCCCTGGAAGTATATTTTAACTAGCTTTTTTCTTTTTCTTTTTTTGAGATGGAGTCTCACTCTGTCACCTAGGTGGAGTACAGTGGCACGATCTTGGCTCACTGTAATCTGTATCTCCCAGGTTCAAGCAATTCTCCTGCCTCAGCCTCCTGAGTACCTGGGATTACAGGCATGTGCCACCATGTGTGGCTAATTTTTGTATTTTTAGAAGAGACAGAGTTTCACCATGTTGGCCAGGCTAGTCTCAAACTCCTGACCTCAAGTGATCTGCCGCTTTGGCTTTCCAAAGTGCTGGGATTACAGGTATGAGCCACTGCACCCTCCCTCTGTCACCAGGCTGGAGTGCAGTGGCATGATCTCAGCTCACTGCAACCTCTGCCTCCCGGGTTCAAGTGATTCTCCTGCCTCAGCTTCCCGAGTAGCTGGCACTACAGACACTCAGCACCATACCCAGCTAATTTTTTATTTTTTTTAGTAGAGATGGGGTTTTACCATGATGGCCAGGATGGTCTTGATCTCTTGACCTTGTGATCTGCCCACCTTGGTTTCCCAAAGCATTGGGATTATAGGTGTGAGCCACTGTGCCCGACCAACTCTACATTTTTTTTTTTTAAGACAGAGCCTTCACTCTTGTAGCCCAGGCTGGAGTGCCATGACATGATCTCTGCTCACTGCAACATCCACCTCCTGGGTTCAAGCAATTCTCCTGCCTCAGCCTCCTAGCTGGAATTACAAATGCATACCACCACACTTGGCTAATTTTTGGTATCTTTAGTAGAAACAGGGTTTCATCATGTTGGCCAGGCTGCTCTCGAACTCCTGACCTCATGATCCACCCAACTCAGCCTCCTAAAGTGCTAGTATCACAGGCATGAGCCACCGCACCCAGCAAACTCTACATTTTAAATGTTTTTAAGATAGGAACACATACTAGAAAAAAAAGGGAGGGGAGACAAAATGGGACATTCTCTCTATACTCTGTCAATATTTTGCTTTCCCATAAAATGGTAATATGTTTCTAAAAAATATATAATCCTTACAAAAAGTGCAAAATAGCCAATTCCTCCAGCAAGAACTCTGTATAGAAATCATCACTGCTAACAGTTGAAATATATCTTTTAGGGCTTAGGCAGCTATTTGCATATTTCCACATAGATGGGAAAAGATATAAATATGTTTAATACTGCCCATTTAACAGGTCTTATATATCTTTCCATAGCAACATAGATAATTCTAGCTTTACCATTTTAAAAGCTTTAGAGTATTCCATTCTGGGTATGTACCATAATTATTCACCCAATCTCCTATTGATGAACATCTAGGCTGTTACCATTACAGCATGAATCATAAATTAATAAGAAATAAAATAGTTCTGATTTTGTGGAAGACTATTCCAAAAAGCATATAAAGCATATATTCAGGCAATTAACCTATTTGAGTGAGTTTTTGCTGTGACAGTGTAACAGATGACCTTTGATTTTAAATGGTAAACTGTACCTAAAAAGTCTTGTTCCGGTTTAAGAAATCCAGAAATGAAAACAAACAGACCATGTGAGAATACATAATGATTAGAACCAAAAATTAACCTGCAGTCTTTGCTTCTGAATTCTTCTTCAAGAAGTATATCTGAATTTCAGGAATAATAACTTTCATCTATTACTTCCTGAATTTCCCAAAAGCTACAGGAAAATGATGCCTCATCATCTTTCTTTCCTCAAATGCCTATAGTGGGAACCAGGCAGACGCCAGATGATAAAAGGGAGGAACCTTGTATACATTATTTAAAACCTGGTCACTTGACAAAATAGGTAGGGGTATTAGGAAGAAGTATCTCTGGGAGTGTATTTTAAGTGACTTTTTTTCTTTTCCTTACACATTTCCTTAGTTTTAAAATTTTCCATAGTGACCATAAGGTATCCTTTTCATAAGATATTATTAAACAGTGGTTATACACTCTGGCTATACATTATAATCATCTGGAGGGGATTTAAAAAAAAAAAAAAAAAAACACTGCTGCCTCGGACCCTCTCCAGAAGAGTTAAATCAAAATCCCTGGGGGTAGAGTCCAGGTATCAATTAAAAAATACATATTCATTACATAATATGCAGAGAAATACACAAAGTTTACACACCCATGAATTAACCAGCAGTCCCCTTGAGGCCCCTCCCAATCACCACATCTTCCTTCCTCCTCAGAGGGAAATAGGGTCTAAGTTCAAACACTACGAATTTAGTTGGGAGAATTCAAATGAATATAATTTACAGTACAATTTTTTTGTGTGTTTGGCTTCTTTAAAATCAGCATTACGGTTGTACATTCGTTCCAGCTGCTATAAGTAGCCATAATTCATTACCATTGTTGTATACTTCATGAAATGAACATACCACAATGTATCTATCTGTTCTACTATTAAACATCTGAATTATTTCTGGTTTAGAGTTATAAATAACTCCAAACATTTTCTGTGCATGTCTTTTGTTACAT